CCATCAAGTCGACGAAGAACATGAAGGCACCGGGTTTCGACGGACTCTTCAACATTGTCCTGAAGAATTTGGGACCGAAAGCACATGCTCTTCTGGTGAACGTCATCAATAGCTGTCTGTAGCTCGGACACTTCCCAGCTACCTGGAAGCGGTCCAAGGTGGTACCGATACCGAAGCCGGGAAAGGATCCTACCAACCCGTCAAGCTATCGTCCGATCAGTTTGCTTTCCTCGCTTAGCAACGAGGTCACTCGACGGTGGACCAACTCAAGCGGGTCTCAAACCTCATCAATCAGGCGAAGTCGGTCTTGAAGACAACGGTCATGGCGATACTGGACATCGAAAAAGCATTCGATAACGGTGCACAAGCTTCTGCAATTTCGTTTCCCCAGCTACCTGGTGAAGATCTTCTCGGACTACCTCGACGGCAGGACGTCTCAAGTATGCGTAGGCAGTGCTCTCTCGGAACCGTATGATGTACCCGTTGTTGTCCCTCAAGGAAGCATCCTGGGGCCCATATTGTCCAATCTGTACACATCGGACATACCGACACTGCCGCAAGGTGGAACACTGTCGCTGTTTGCTGACGATTCGGCAATCAGCTACAAGGGACACTCTCGTATCGAAGCTCCAAAACGGATTGGATGCCTACATCATATATCTCACCGACTGGAAGATATGTGTGAACGCGGCCAAAACGTTAACCATTGTGTTTCCGCATAGCAACACCGACCGGCTCAAACCGTCATCAAAGATAAAGGTTCTGAACGCTGAAACTGAGTGGTCACCCGAGGTACGCTACCTTGGCCTGATTCTCGACAGTAAGTCCCTCTTCCGGTCGCTCGTGGAAGACCGAGTCAAAAAAGGCACCATAATGCTGAAACGTCTGTATCCGATCATCAACCGTCGCTCGAAAGTATCCACCGTCCACAAGCTGGCTGTCTACAGGCAGATTGTTGCACCTATGCTGGAGTATGGGTCTCCGGTATGGAAGGGTTGTACTAAAACACATCGGAAGAAGCTCCAAGTCCTGCAGAACAAGTTCCTGAAGATGATTCTGAATCTGCCTCCGCACACACGGATAGCGGACGTTCATCGGCTGGCAAATCTCGATCAAATCGACCAGAGAATGACTGCGCTCGCCAGTTGGCACCAAACTAGGACTCTAAATTCAGAGTACGATAAAAATAGAAATCTTTACCCATAACTTTGTAAATAGTAGGTTTAGTTAGGATTTAATGTAGTTAGATAGGAAATTTATAATTCAAAAATTTAAAATAGAACAAATGTTCACACTGTAAAATGATAAATACCAATTCAAGCATAACTTTTCAAAAGGACGTAAGTCGCAAAAACAAACAAATCGAGTTTTTCCCTCTATCCGGTTGTAAATTTCATGCTTTACTCTATAGTAATTGCGAAACAAAGTTTAAAAACTTAATCATTGAAGAAAAAATAAATTTAATTACCGCCCTATGTGTTCTTCTTTCAATGTTTAAAAAAAGTTTAGATACACCCTATTGCCGTCAATATGACGCAACTTTCAAAAATTGAAAATAACACGCAAACCGCAGATACGCTAACAGTGAAACGTCACATGTGTAAACGAAAATCGAAAATTTGAATCAGCAGTTGCGTCCTGCTGCTTCCGAATAGATTCAAAATGGATTTTGATGCAATTCAGCTGCTGCTAGGTATGTTTTTATTAATATTCATGATAAAAACATAGTTGAAAATATTTTTTTAGACGCAGCCACTCAGCTTGACGATCCACAACCATGGTCACAACAGATTGCTGTTTCTTCGGCGATTATGGCCCAATTACCCAGCGTCGGGTACTACGAAGAAGTTGAAACCGTTTCGCTAAACTCGTCGGCAAATGAAGTGCCCCCAGAACAGGATCTGAACATACACAATGCTTCTCGTCCCCAGAATTCTGATCATGGTTTTTAAATACACCACGGATTCCCCAGGAGAAGTCTTCTTCAAATATGAACCGACACAAGAAAATTTTGAAACTATTCGACTGTTCCAGTCAGCGATCAATATCAAAGCAGTTAACTTGAAGCCGTTGAACATCGAACCTCTGCTATTGCCGGATGCAAAGCTTTCGGACCTTCGAGGACTACTTCCTTTCGTCCGTCAAAAGGAATATTATCAAGCGTTCCTCAAAAACTTGGTGCCTGCCAAAAGAGGGTGCGTCTGCGACCTATTGTTCCACCATCAGAACCACGTTGGTTGACTTTTACTGCGGAGAAAATTTCCATTAGCAGTTCAAATCTATTCAACATCATCCGTTTCATTGAACGCAAAACGCGCCCAACCCGTCGTGATAGGAATTCCTATGGTGACAATTTCGGTGCATTTTGCTTCCAATGAAACAGATAATATTTCAACCATGATAATTCTCGCGTAACATTTGAAAAGGGCCTATCCTCGTTGATCGATTCTCTTCATCGACTTTCTCTTTGGTTTACCACGGCTAAATAAACGAATTTCTCGCTGAGCTCGCAGCACAGTTCGGCAGCAGATGATGTTAGCTTGCGCCTAAAACAACACACTCAATGGAAAATTCATTTGCAGTCGGGTTATTCGCGAAAGAGAAAATCGATTAAGAGAATCGATCAACAATGATAGGCCCTTTTCTCGTGTTGCGCGAGAATTGTCATCATCATGACCATGGTGGTTCAGCATAATTTCCATTAGACTAACCTGAAAGGTATAATTCGAACCGGTGCGCACGCCAAGATGCTGGTCGCCAAAAAATCTTTCGTCTCGCCGGTCGTTGTCTTCGTGGCTGCCGTCTCAAACAGCTTCGAATCCACGTACACCAGCGCTCGCTGTTCCGCATCCAGCAGCGGAAGGAAACCCGTTTTGGCTCTGCATGTTTGTTTCTGACAGGACTTTCTGAGGTGACAGGAAAATCGTCTTGTCCGGGACTTCTTACTACCTGTTACTGGATCCCGTTATTTTAATCCTCAGTTATCCTCTTGTTCCAGATAACCTGCTCTTGACTAAGGATCTCCTTCTCCGTTCCTCAAAATGACGAATTTCTTTGTGAGAGTTAGCAGACCGACGTATTTCTGCTTCCAAATAAAAACTGGTGTATCTGATCTGACGCAAGTGTAAAACGATCTGTCAAATCGACGCATCTCACAAGGTGTATATAACAACCTAGGTATTATAACGACGAATCAATCAAGGTGTATGTGGGAAGTTCAGAACCAAAAGGGTGTATCTTTTAATTTAATCAAAATTGCTGTTAATGTATGCAAAAACCCAGCATTTTTCATAAAAATCATAAACTACAATCCTGTATGTAACTTTTGGCAGCAACAGATCGTGAAAAATATCAAAAACTTTTAAATAGGATTTAATAATATAGTCTGAATATTGCTACCCCATTTTTCTCATTTGCTGTCAAATGTTACATACGTCCTTTCGAAAAGTTATGCTTGAATTAGCAAAAATTAGCCAATTGCTTTCAGTAATTTTAGTAAAGAATGAAAAACAAATGTTGATCACTTACAATGTAAAACTATGGTAAAACAAAACAACTGAATAAAAATAAATTTAATGTAAAAAAAATGTTCGCAATGCGTTCGTCATACAATTTGTTTGCAGTAAATCAAGTTTAAAAAGCATCGAACCTTCTCCAGGATAGACCAACTAGGCAGGTTCTGGTCTTAATGAGTGTAGTATTTCATAAAAGTCAAAATGTTACTTGGGTGCTCTAAGCTCGATGGTCCGCATAGTATCAAATCCCCCCTCGAAGCAACAATATTCCCACCATCCCAAACCACTTCAAAGACTTACTGAAAACTTTCGCCAAAAAGAGATCACGCTTCACCCCGGTTGTGTCCAATCGCATCCATCACAAAACCAACAGAGCTGACCCCTAGGATCGTTGCAGGGTGACCCCTTGCCGCTCTAGCGAAACAAATTTCAAAACCCCCCAAACACAGCCAACTACGCCATCCTATCAGCCCCAGCTAAATGGGCTTGAACTTTTGAGAGTTCACCCAACAGCAACAACAACTCGATTTCGCAAACCCAAAGGGAAAAATGGCAAAATTAATTCGCCTACTTCGGTAAAGTCACCCAAGCAGAGTCGACGGAGGGCGCAATCAATTTCGGCTCATCAGCGAGCGAACGAACGGGCGGCTGGGCTGAGCTGAGCTGCCAACATGCAATCGAAAGTAAGGTGAGTGGTGGCCTTATTAATTTCTGCATCGTCCACCACCAAAGTGAATTAAAACTGCATCGCATGGCTGTTATCATGGCAGCAGCCGTCGTTCCGTTCCTAAGCAACAGCGCGAACTAATTTTCCAATCCCGTCGCCGTTGTCGAGGCGAAGATGATCGCATCGTTTCCCGCACCAGCAGAAGAACAAAACCGAAAGAAGCCCAGGGACGGTGTGGCGTTGTTGGATGCAGTTTTATGCAACTATATTTTATATTTCATCTCTTTATTCCTGCTGGTGGTGCAGGGCAGCAGCACGAAAGCACCAGGCTTAACAGCAAACCGTGGGGTTGCCATGGCAGTGCGAGAGAACACGAAGAAGGCCTCTTTACACGAAAAGTTTGATTCACACAATTTTTCAGCGCTTTTCCCCGTGGGATGCCCGGTGTTGGAAGAGAGTGGACTGGTGCAGAACAACATCTGTCGGGTGAGCTGAGAACAATCGCTTGCTGCACGAGATGACGTGCTCGGGCTGGTGGAACGAACCCGATTGGATGCTTAGTTTGTTTATTGTGAGCTCAAGTGGAAATTTCACGGTTAACAATGTTGCTATGCTGATGGCTTTGCTAAGATGATCCAACTTAATCATCAATGAGCTATTAAAATGCCGATAAACGTAAAAATATTATAAGAGACAGCAACGCCCCCTCCGGGCCACAAAACTGCAAGCGACGAACCCCCAAAATTCCTGATGTTTTCGGCGCCCTCCCCTATTCGGCCTACTACGACAACAACAATAACAAAGCAGCAATGACTCACCGTCCACCGGAACGTGAAGGGCAGCGTGACGCGGCCGACTTCCGAGTCGGACAGGACGAAGCTCGAACCACCCAGCGTCGGTGTGCTGGCGTTGCCGAATGCACACCCGTACATGGCCGACGACGCCGTTTGCGGTTCGTCTGCCAAAAGGGCTTCCCCTGGTTGCTGCTGGGCGGCAGCAGCAGCAGCCGCAGCCGCCGCTGCTGCCTTCAGCTGCTGGCCACTGGATGTCGTGCCCTGGTACTCCTTCAGACACAGCCTGAACGCCGTTGCACATGCCGGACATCCTATATCGGGTAAACGACGCAGAAAAAAAAATGAGGTTAGAATGACAAACCGCAGAGGTGGGTTCAAAGGGGGGGGGGGGGGCTCTTGGATTACCGGTCGTTTGTGTTCGCTGCTTCTCCACCGGCAGACCGCAGCAATATCCGGACAGTAGATGGCTATTGGTGTTGGCTATCTCCAGAATTTGCATCTCGAAGAAGCCCGACGAGGAAACCTGAAAACAAAGAAAACGATAACGATTAGTGACGTGAAAGAAAGGGGAAAGACAGTTCAGTGAAACAAAACAAAAAATGGTTTTAATTTTTTATCTCCACCTAAGACGATTACCGCATTTCTTCCGCATTCGGGAACAAACGCGCAGCAGAAAGTGGTGATTATTTATGAGACGACGATAAAGATTGGTATCGCTGAAAACTCCTACCAATTCAAAAGGCAGAAATCGTTATTTATTACACCGCAATTAATTAGCCAATAATTACGGGCATTAACCTTAATCAACTATGCTTGTTTGCTTGTTTTCTCATTGTTTCGTCACCATGGCAATTGGGGAAATTTGTGTCATCTCAGCGACAGACGGCTGCTGCGATCGATCGAACCCTGTGATTTGGCGACATCGTGGTTTTCACGGTCCCCGAGCGCGAGCCAAAAACTTACGCCCCTTTCGGGACCCGGATGATTGCATGCTTTTGTCTCTGCTTGTCCCAGGCCTGCTACGGTTATTATTTTATTTTCGGCACAGCTGCCCTGAAGGTGCATATAATTCAGTAGTCAGACGACGACGACGACGACGCTCACCACAAGTATCAATTAGTCAAGGTTAAGAGCCTTTGCGCGGATTCGAACCGCCACACAAGAAAACGAAAAATCTTCCCATACACACTTCTGACAGACGAACCGAAGAATCTGAGAATTGAACCGCGGTGAGCGCAACAGTAATGATGAGGTGTGATGATTTCATTATTCAAATAAGTAACATGAGTGGTTTTCGCTTTCAGTTTCGGATATTGTTTCCCTCTCGTTGCGCTCTCGATGATGATGGGTTTTTTTTTGCAGGCGGGGGTCGGCGGCTAACCCAATTTGGGCAGCTGATTTGGATTCGAAGATTTAGATTTTTACATTTGTTTACTCTCACGGTTCGAACGGTGCGAAGATCCATGCAAGCGCGCAGTAGGCATTTGCAATTTTAATGGCTCGGAATGGAATGGAAACTGGATTGCTTCGATGGATGCGACCCCGTGCCTGGCAGATGGATTAGAGGGCGCTTCAGGATAAGACCAATTGAGGACGAACTTTGAGATGCGAACGTCTCTTGACGTCTCGTTATGGAAACGGGGTGTTGCGTAATATTTAGTCAGTGAGAGACGAAAACGTGATCGATGGGTTTTGGGGGAAAGAAAATTGGAACGGAATTTATTAGCTCCGCGATGCGATAAGTGTTTTTCTGTTTTGGCAGAAAATAATATTGAACAATCGAATTATCATATTAGAATGTGTGATATACGTAACAACAATGCTACATTAGGCGAATTGTATGACTTTAATGCCGTCACATCGAGAAATAAACTAAATTATATAATGTATGGCCAGTGGCTTTCAATGATAACGTCATGCTTCAACCGGAAAATTTCAGATTATAACAGTTTTGTTTTGAAAAATGCGCATTTTAGGCAACCAGCTAAAACTCGCACTAGGCTTCTTCTCGAAGCTAATGCTCGAAGCTTGTCACTTGTGGAAACTGCCTTCTTCATGGAATATTTCTGAAGGCCATTCTGGGCTACTTCTAGAAGCCTCTCTATACTGAAACTGCTCAGGACCTATTACAGAGGCCATTTTATAAGTTTCGTCACTCTGAGCATCTTCTGCTAGCCACCGTAGGTCTTTTTGGAGGCTTTTCTTGGCCTCATAAATGACTGTCTTGGGGATTTTCGGCTCTTTCAAACTTCGAATTAGCTGTCTAGTACTGCAGAAGTACTCAAGAAGATTGGTGAAGAACCAACCGAATCGACGAAGAACTTCGTCATGGGGAAAGGTAGCGGCTCAGAACGAGTTTTGGGCATGATCTGGCTACCCCAAGAAGACTTATTTTCCTTTGCGATACACTTTCGAAGTGACCTCGAGAGGTTGTTGAATGGAATATCCTATCCTACCAAAAGGGAACTTCTCAGCCTAGTCATGACCGTATTCGACCCACTTGGGCTGGTGGCAAACTTCGTAATCCACGGCAAAGTGTTGGTGCAAGATGTGTGGAGATCGGGTAGAGGATGGGATGAGAAATTTTCCCATTGTGGCAACGGTGGGTTCTAGCACTCCAAGATCTGAGACATCTGCGAATAGAACGCTGCTATTTCCCGGGATATGGTCCAGAAGCCTTCGAGACTCTGGAGCTACACGTTTTTGTGGATGCAAGTCTATCTGCCTACATCCGGATTGTCGATCGTGGAACTATCCGATGCAGTCTGGTAGCGTCCAAAACCAAGGTTACACCACTCAAGCAACTCTCTGTACCGAGACTAGAGCTGCAAGCTGCTGTCATCGGTGCAAGGCTGATGAGAACCATCATTGCCAGCCACACCCTTCCGATCACCAGGAAACTTTCCTGGCTTGGCTTCGATCTGTTCAACGGAAGTTTCATCAATTTGTAGCCTTTAGGGTCGGTGACATTCTGTAAATTACTGACGTATCCAAATGGAGAAAGGTGCCTACGAGGTGGCACGTGTCGAACGAAGCCACGAAGTGGGGAAACGGCCCGAATGCTACCGTAAATATTAGGTGCCTCAGAGGCTCGGAATTCCTTTACAAGGATGAGCTAGAGCGGCCAGAACAGGAAATGGAATGTACAACTTCTGAGGAGACACGGGCAGTCAACATCCATCGCACAGCAGTAGTAAGTGAAACAATTGGGTTTGACCGATTCTCGAAATGGTAAAGATTGCTTAGGACTGTAGGGTACGTGCGGCGATTCCGAGACATCTGCTTGAGGAAGAAGAACAAGCTGCCGAATCCCGAGATTCTGAGCAGCGAAGAGCCACGGGAAACTGAACATACGGTGCTGAGAGTGATTCAACGTGAAGTATTCGCCGATGAGTATGCCTCATTGGAATCCAACAAAAAAGTCCCACTAATCCAATGTAAGGCAGTGGCGAAGAGTAGCCGGATCTACAAGTTGTGTCCACTCGTCGGATGACTGATGGCGTAATCCGAAAGGATGGAAGGATCGGTGCTGCTCCCTGGCTGACCTTCGAAGCAAAGTATCCTGGAATTTTACCCAAAACCCACTACGTGATCGCATTGATCATCGACAGCTTTCTTCGAAAATTCGGGCAGACGATCGTAAACGAGATCAGGCAACAGTTCCATGTGTCCGAGCTCAGAGCTGCGGTATGAAAGGTGGTAAAGGAGTGTTGCAGGTGCTAAGTGCGCAAGACGATTCCGCGGTCTTCCCGTATGAGCCAACTTCCGGAAGCACGTCTAACTCCATACGTCAGGCCGTTCACCTTTACTGGTTTGGACTATTTTGGACCAATTACTGTCAGATTTGGGCGTGGTACCGTGAAACGCTGGGTGGCAGTTCATTTGGAGGTTGCGTTCACTTTGTCTACGGAATCATGCAAGTTAGCCGTGCGAAGATTCATCGCTCGGCGTGGTGCACCTCTCGAGATCTATTCGGATCAGGGAACAAATTTCCAAGGAGCTCGGAAGGAACTGCAGCAAGAAATCATGAATTGGCCGCAACGTTCACGAATGCAGCAACGCAGTGGAAGCTGAATCCTCCGTATGCTCCGCATATGGGCGGCATCTGGGAAAGATTGGTGCGTTCGGTGAAGGCTGGTTTGGCCGCCATGGAGATGCCAAGGAATCCAAACGAAGAAACCTTCATCACGGCGTTGGCGGAAGCAGAGTCGATGGTAAACACTCGTCCTCTTACCTGACTTCCGCTGGATTCGAAGGAAAGTGAAGCACTTATCCCGAACCACTTCTTACTTCTAAGCTCCAACGAAGTATGTCAACCAACCGTCGCTCCGTTAGATATTACATTGTTCGAATTGGAACCACGTTCAAGTCATGCTTCACCGCTTTTGGAATCGGTGGATAAAAGACTATATTCCAGTCATCTCACGACAGTCGAAGTGGTTCCAGGAAGTGAAACCGATCCGAGTCGTGAACGAGGCAAGGAGGAATAGCTGGGAACGAGGAGTCGTTGAGAAGGTGTAAAAACGTTGCATTGCCTCAACTCTGATTAGATCAATTCCTGACGATAGTGAAGTAGTGACTGGAAACGTCGAAAACTCTCAATACAGTCCCTTCTAGATTTTTCTTCTTCTGCTTGTAGGATTAATTCTGGAAGGAGTTATTGGTTTGTTCTGAACGCTTCTCCTACACACTTAGAAATAACAAATTTTACATGTCGTGTAATATTAAGTGCTCCAAAACTGAAAAGTTCATTAGTACACGAAGTACGATTGATTGAGCTGAATTTTGCATCAAAATTGACGCTCGTATATGTCAGTCTCAGAGCACCTAAATTTACATGATTTTGTCTTAGTTTGTAGAGGCCGGAAAAAACTTTTTTTGTTGACCATTTGGAGCATCTTCTAGACCTGTTCTGAATAAAATTCTTGGTTTCTTCTGTAGGCCGTTCTGAGGCCCTTCAAAAAGCTACTGTAGGCCTCTACCGGAAGCGTCTCATAGCATTTTCTGAAGACTGTTTTTTTTCTCTGCTATAGATCTTTTCCAAATTACACGTTAGATTTATTATGGAGGCCGCTCAAGATCTTTTCTGAGGTCTGTTCTAGGCTTCTTTGGAAGATCGATCTTGACCTCTTCTGAAGACCGTTCTAAGCTTCATCTATAAGCCATTTTTGATCTCTTCTGGAGGCTGCACCGAGACTTGTTTAGATGCCTCTTCTGGAAGCTGTTCAGGACCGACTTATTATGAAGCACGGTCTTGACTTCCTTTAGAGGCCTAAGTAACACTTGCAACATCGTTTATGAATAATGAAACAAATTCCAGTTGTAAATATGTTATATATTAATTGCTTCGAAAACATCTTGTTTTAAACCCGGTGTATTGTTGTTTGTGAAGTATTAATCCTTTTTGGCAGGAACTTGTTAACTTACATTTATAATCCGGTATTGCATGACTCAATTGTATTTGATGAAAATTGCTAACCTTATATCAACGACATCATATCAAGAAGACTGGAAATTTTGCCG